TTGCCCATCAAAGATAAATGATATGTCATTATGGCGGTGACGATTCTGTGGGCAAATAATCTTCCTTCCTTCTTCGTGCTGACTTCTACCATAGCAGTATAAAATCAATGAATTTGAATTGCAAATGCGCTGTTTTACGTGATCTGTTTGCAGTTGCTCTTTTCGCTTTCGGTTGTCATGCTTGAAGCGGAGAATTGTGTTTGTCTATTCGCTCATGATATCGATTTTTACCATATTGCGTCTGTACTAGTCTCGTCGCGAATATGGAATGTGAGTAAAGACCAGTCCTCGTGCCAGTACGAGTACGGTATTACTGTATCGTTGTGCAAGTACCTTACCGTAAGAGTGAAGATTCGAAATATACGACAGTCTCGAAGGTGATAGGTTTTCTGATTCCATGGTTGACAGCACGAGAAACAAGATAATGGCTTTATTCAAAACAAGTCCAACTTTTTGACCGAGCTGGTCAGAACCATAGGTCATCATCAGGGAATGAACACTAAGGTGTTTGACCCGATTGATTGGCGCTAGCTGTGAATCATCGCGGAAATGTCGATGGAGCCAGCGCAACGGTTGCATGTTCGATTTTTGCCGACATCAGTGTGCAGCGACTCCTTGATTAAAAGCTTTATCTTATTCCGGGTCGATCGACAACCGTCACTTCGCCGTTGTTAAAATTATGACCATTCTCCAGGGCATGAGCACCGGTGCCAGAATGATCAGGTTACGGTACCTGATGGTTCTCTTTGCTCTGCTAATCTAGTTTTTAGTTTTGTTTTTGCTTCGTGTTCATTCCTTGTTAACCATTGGGCCAGAAGGCCATTCGCCTTCAAGTATCCACGGCACGGTATTACCAACAGTGGTAAATGTTCGGTTTTATGGCTGGGGCGGAAACGAAATTAGTAGAAGAACTCAACTGAGGACCAAAGTTTCCGAGTGCATTTATACTGACCATAATTGAGGTCAAGCTCAGCAACGGCAGGTAGGCAATGGCAAATATCACCATCAGCTTTACACCAAACAACATCATTCGGTATCGCTATGAGCCGTAGAAATTATGCGAACAGTCTCAATTGTGATTTCCTACACTAGTTTAAATATGCTTAAAAATCTTCCGGACAACAAGGCAGTGATAGAAACATTGTTAACAGATCCCTCTTAGCTATATGATAAATCTTCAAGAAACATACTCTGACGATCAAACCTGAGAAAAGGATGAGGGTGAGTAGTTCGCATTGTTACCAAAGCGTCAAGTCTTTTGAGATGACTTTCATGCATTAAAAAATGAATTAATACTATATAACACATGGATATCCTGGATTCATTTTCATGTGCGACAAAGCTATTCACTCTACTCTAAGGCACATGTGAAATCAGTTTTTTACCATCTGTTTGATGCAAGTGACGTCCGGTTTCAAATATAATTTAATTCGGTTATTACTACATTTTGCGTGTGTTAGTAATTTTAAATTGTTATTTATGTATGTTTCGATGTATCTGAGACTTTTTTTGTGCTGTTTGAGGGAATGATATATAAATGCTGTTGAATGTTCATAAATTAGGGTAATTAATGAATTTCATCACTTTAAAGTCGCTTTAAATAAGGAAAACCAAATCAGTCGAAACCTAACGTGCATTAAGAATTCGACAAGCAAATAAGTATATATATTACATAGGGAACTATACTGGTATGTTTATAGCGTTTCGGATCAGCTGATCAGCAAACCCATTAAATAAGAGAGCACAGGTTGACAAAAACCTGAAAGATTACATTAATGAGTTCTGGATAACTGCAATAGAGTTTTATTATAGTTAACAGTTTATTGGCCACATTTGCCACGTTGAGTTTAAATATTTTTACTTGAATGAGGTCTTTAACGAATCAGAATATCAATTCTGCGTTCAGTTGCCGTCTGGTAGCATCTAATCAAAAAATAATTGCTTTGCATTGCTCTCAGTTTCATATCTTCTGGAACCTACATCATGGTTTTAGTGACTGCCTTCCATATGAATATTACACGTATGCAGTGGCTAGATGCTTATGTGCTGTTACTTCCTTCAAAGGAAGTTAAGATGAGGCATTACTGTGTGTATTCTTTTTCTGTATTTTATGTTTTCGTCTAAGGCTGAGTAATCTCGATATTAGGTGAGGTACCGCTGATGAAGAGTTTGCTTTCTTTGTTTTGCACATCTTTTGTCAACTGGATTACTTAAATTTCAGACAACTGCGTAAAGTGCGGTGAGGCGATTACCTCTAGTCGAACTGGCTGCACTGCTCTCGAAAAGAACTATCACGTGGACTGCTTCAACTGCGGAAAATGTGGTACGTTTCTACTGCTTGTCATTCTCTTTCCTCCAACTAAATGAAGTTATCCGTTAGGTAAGCAGCTGGCCGGCTTGTCCTTCTACTCGGTCGACGGCAAGCCCTTTTGCGAAGATGACTATCTGCAGACTCTTGAGAAATGCATCATTTGCTTGAAGCCAATTTCTGAAAAAGTATGTTTATATTTATAAGTGGAATTTATTAAATTTTGATTTCACTCGTCGTTGAGATGTAACCCAGCGCGTATTAATGAAAGATGATATCATAGAGAGTTGTAATTTATATTCTAGTCATGGTTATCTCTAGCTTTGGTGTAGAACCCAAAGACAATTCGTGGATTCAATTCTCGAACGATTAATTGGTCTTTCAGTCACCTGACGCTACAAAACAGGTAGTGCTATGAGTGAAGAGAAAGAAGAAAAATACGTTACTCAGGTGGCTGCAGATCAGATACTTATAACGAATAGTACTATAACTGCGATCCCCTCAGCAGCGTAGGAATTCTGCTTGAAAGAAGAATGTACAAATCGCATTCGTACCAAAAGTCATGAAAGCATATTAAAAACCCAAGGTGCAAATTCATGTTCCTTCATCTGTAACAGTGCTCGCCAACCAAGGGCGTCGGTTGAAACAATAAGGGTAATTGACTGATCCTTCTTCTTAATTACCAGGGATCATCATTGCCAAGTCTCGATGACCGCATTTGTCTCTCTCGTGTGATTTATCTCCACATGCTTTTTTGGCTCATTGTCCCTTCTGAGTCGATGTCTCTCAGTTGGACCTTTTCAACTCCTTGAATGCCAATCCGTCATTGCTGAAATTCATCG